AACTGTGCCAAGTTTGGAAGAAATTGGTGCAGCGGTTACCAAGATATACACATGTAACCATAAGTGGGCGTGGCTACGCCCATTTTCCAAACATTCATAGTATTCTTATTTTTCGTCTGAAAATTGTTGTAAATATCAATTATCAAATATCGCAGTTTTCGTATTTCCGAAAATTACCGTTATATGGGATGTTGGCGTGGTTATTCTCCGATTTTTTAAATTTTCGGCCATTTAGTATGCTGTACCAAGGCCAACAACTGTGCCAAGTTTGGAAGAAATTGGTGCAGCGGTTACCAAGATATACACATGTAACCATAAGTGGGCGTGGCTACGCCCATTTTCCAAACATTCATAGTATTCTTATTTTTCGTCTGAAAATTGTTGTAAATATCAATTATCAAATATCGCAGTTTTCGTATTTCCGAAAATTACCGTTATATGGGATGTTGGCGTGGTTATTCTCCGATTTTTTAAATTTTCGGCCATTTAGTATGCTGTATCAAGGCCCAACAACTGTGCAAAAAAAAAATTCATAATATTCTTATTTTTCGTCTGAAAATTATTGTAAATATCAATTTTGAGTTAATTATGTTCAGTAGTTACTAAAATATCGCAGTTTTCGTATTTCTGGAAATTACCGTTATATGGGAAGTGGGCGTGGTTACAGTCCGATTTCGCCCATTTTCAATACCTTGCATTAACAGAAACCTACGTACCAAATTTTGTTGAGATATCTCAATTTTTGCTCGAGTTATCGTGTACACGGGCGGACGGACAGACGGACAGACAGACATGGCTTAATCGATTTCTCTATTCATTCTGAGCATTTATGTATACATTTGTCTATATCTATCTCGATTGGTTTTGGCTGTTGCAAACAACCGTTATGTGAACAAAATTAATATACCCTTGTGCACAAGTGCGCTCGGGTATAAAAAAAAATCAAATAGAAAAACTGTTTAATATACCACGTTTCTATAAATAGACTAAAACGTAGAAAATCATGTATCCTAGACCCGTAGAGTTTGCCTCCATAAGTTTTGATTTTAAAATTTTAGCAAAATCCATTACAAAAAGTTTACGAGATTCAAAACAAGAAATTTAAAAACAATTTTTTTTAAATACCAGCTTTTATTAGTAGCCAGCTTTTATTGGTGCCAAGCGCAAAACTGTCAGGAAGCTTTTCAACAGTGCTAAACGGACACCTCAGTGGGACGAGTATAAGGCCTGTCTCACTGCCTATAACAAGATTATTAGGCGCTCGAATGGGGATTCATGGAGGCGACATTGGGAAACAATAGAAACGTTGCCTGAAGCCTCGCGTCTGCATAAAATTTTATCAAAGGAGTCTTCCAATGGGATAGGCCTCCTAAGGAGGCAAGATGGCACCTTTACAAATAATAACAGGGAGACTCTAAATCACCTACTTCAAGTGCATTTTCCAGGCTCCTTGATGGAGCATGATCTGATGATCCCTGCCTCCTCGGAACACAGGTTCCCTAGAGTGAGAAGTCAAAGCAGATCTGGCTCCATCTTTGACAGGGACAAGGTATGGTGGGCGGTAAAGTCTTTTGAACCTTTCAAAGCAGCGGGTGGTGATAGGATCTTCCCAGCACTACTGCAGAGAAGTATTGAGGATATAATTGATCCCCTGATCTGTATATTTAGGGCTAATTATTGCTTTGGAATACATACCGTACGCTTGGAGGAAGGTGTTAGTTTTATTTATTCCGAAATCGGGCAACAGGCCCCTTGACTTAGCTAAATCATACAGACCTATTAGGCTAACTTCCTTCACTCTCAAAACTTTAGAGAGACTCTTAGACCTCCATATTAGGGAGAGACTTAACACTTCTCCTCCCTTACATCACACACAATTCGCGTATGTTAAAAGGAAATCAACGGATTCGGCCCTACAGTATCTGGTTAGTAGGATCGAGGGGGCTTTCGATAATACTGCCTATGGATCTATCTCAAGGGCACTGGCCCAAAGAGGCTTAGACCCTACTACTGTTGGTTGGATCGACGCTATGCTTCGTAAGCGTGAAATTTCATCGTCCTTTAGCAATACTCAAGGGAATATTAAAGCCATGAGAGGCTGCCCACCGGGAGGGGTCCTTTCTCCCTTGCTTTGTTCACTTGTTGTGGATGACCTCCTAATCAGACTACATGAGTGTGGTTACGGTGTTATCGGATACGCAGATGATCTTGCAATTATATTTAGGGGAAAATTCGGTAGTACTGTCTCTGACGCAGCTCTTCGCGTGGTCTCAAACTGGTGTGCCAATGAGGGCCTCAGCATATATCCACGGACCATGTGGGCGTGCAGGAGACTTTTTGAAAGGAAATGGGGCCTGAGCTCAAGACTGATTGAGTGGCTCTACCGTATGATCGTCCGTCCGATTGTGTCCAATGCATCCATAGCGTTGTAGCAGAAGACAATGCAAAAAACTGCCATACTTCACCTTAAGAAATTGCAAAGATCGGCATATCTATCCGTCACTGGAACCATAAGAACGTGCTCTAGAGTCGCTCCTGGGATGTACTCATCTAAATATGGAGATCCAGGAAACAGCAGCCACGAGGGAGCGGCAAATTCGACTATCTAACGACGTCTTCTTCGCAAAGAAGCTTCATGCAGGTATTCTTGGGAAGTTACCAGGGTTGGAAATATGCGAAATCTCTGATTCCTCGACTATGTATCTTATATACATTATATGTATATAGACACATATGTATATACTACGTATGTGTGCATGGATATGAAATGCAGACCTTTCTTTTATTGAGTTTTCTTCTAAGTAATACATACATACTTACATATTCTTATTCTATTAACGTGTGTATATTTTTGGTTTCTTATTAATATCCTTATAATGGCGAATCAAAACATTTAAAATAGATAAAAAAATTATACTGTTTTTTCTGCTTTTCGTTACTCTCAGTCTTAACTAGACGCACACTTTTCTCATTAGTTAATCTTATCCCCACTAAGTTCCATTTATTAGATACATATAATAAATAAACGCATTTGTGCTTATTCCTACATTTCTTCCAACGAAAAGCATTTTCTTGCATTACTTACATATACATATGAACATATGTATATGTATGTATGCTGTATGCATAACAAAATGCATAACCAAAGCAAACGCGAAAAATATCTCCCGTACAACGTCGTTGAAAATTTTTCGTGAGTGATCGCGAATTGATTACTTGCATCGTTTTTCTCATTCATGAGAGGCCGACATCGGCAACGCTTGGACTTCTCATACTCGAGTGAGAGGAAATTTCTTTGCTTTTTTCGATCGGGAATGAAAAGAGCGGAAATTTGTTTGTCCATCGCATTCCGAATGTGAGAGATGATAAATTTATTTGCATTTCTCACTCGCGATAAAAGAATGCTAAAATAGATTTGGAATATTATCGATCATGATAAACGAATAATCATAAATGAGAATTTCCGAACCCTGCTCTAAAATAAGGATACTGTTTTCTGCTTTTTTCTGAGTGCGGTTTCCTCGGGAAGATTATGGATTTTTTTTCTCGTATACCCCTTTCAAAAATTTACTGGTGACGGTGGACCCCCTGCTGATACATTTCTTAATATTCCCAAGGCTCGTAAAAAAATTAAATGTGAATATTACAGCGTGGCGACGAATAACTGTTACCCAGTTTTTTTTGAGAAATAAAAGGGTCCTTTATAA